CTTTTTAGTGCTTCCATCTCCTTTTCTACAGCAGTAAGAGAAGCCCTCAACCGTTGAGTTTTCACATCAACCCTTTTAGGCGTACCAGGCATGTTCATGTAGTCCACCTTCCCCATGACATCAGAAATGGTTTGAATCTGCCACTTCTTTACAGGCACACCAAAATGTTCAAATACTTGTCCTAACCAAAATCCATAAGCCAAACCCCTTTGCTTTTTATCAACCTTGGACAAACTATGTATGTGACTCATGATTAGGATCGGCAAGTTTATTTGAGTCCTAGACAATAGTAAGTCCATAAGTGTGAGATCCAAGTAACATGCTTCAGTCCTTTTTTGCTTTCTTGGAAGAAGAATTTTGTGAACTACATTAAACAGCATCTGATGTAAAGGTAACATACATCCCTTGTCAACACTAGAATATTCTGAAAGAGTAGGATCATTTGAGAATCGCCTACATATGTCAAGTTGAGAGGTGTTACCCTCTAAAGGAGGCCAATCCTTCTTGACATAGTGACCCCATCCCCAGTTAGGAATTCTAAGTATTGAAGACAAAATCTCAGCAGTAAGTGTAAAAGAAATACCACACACAGTACTAGTAATTGACGAGGCAGTTCCTGTTGCATTGATATAAAATTCTCTGGTTTCTACTCTACCCATTTTACGCCTAAAAGATCCTTGAAGCATCAATTCTGTCCATCCTTGTTCTTGTAAGATGATCACTAACTCATCCATCTCACCACCCCCAAAGCCAGAAATTACTCTCCCCCTAATCACACTCCTCTTCTTAAAGGCTAACACTCTTGCATGGTAATCACTATCATCTAAATCATGAAATTTTGATTTGGATGAAATTTTTTTCCGTTTCTGTCTTTTAACTGTATCTGCTACAAGGTTTAACGATGAAGAAGACTTAAGCTTTCTTGTGTGAATTTCCTTGGTTGATTTAGCCAAAGTCTTTGCTTCTCGAGTGCGTTGTGCAGATCTAGTTATTCTCATTGGCACCTTTGCCGGTAGAATAGAGTGAGGTTCTTCTGGAGTCGTAGCAGCAGGTTTGCAAGAAGATGACCTTTGTTTGGAACACGTTCTGATTTGGGAAAGCATTTCAAGCAAAGTGATATTTTCATTATCAGAACTATTTTCTTGGTCCTATGACAAAAACATTTGTTCCCCCTCACTTTGTGCACTCATATTATCTTTCTCTAACCCTTGACTTCTCTCTTCCCCCTGAACTAAAGCATCTTCCATAAGAGACCATCGAGTTATGCCGGTCGAATCAATGTAGAGAATGGCTGGTAGGGCGTGTAGGCTTTCTTGAGCATCAAAGGGAATTATGGCTAGTGAAAGATTGTAGGACATGGCCATTTTTTCTCAACAACACAATGTGGATTCTGGGATTTCAAGGGTTTGAGAGAGAATGAGGTCAATCGGAGAAGAAAGAGAAAAGGGGACTGTTTAAGAGGAATTATAGGGAAGTGTAAGGGTTTTACTGAGAATGGGAACATGTATGACTTGAAAGGTTTTCTGCAGGTTTTGAATTGGCGGTTGTGATGATGATTTATTTATTAATTTTTTTTTCATTTAATTAAATAAAGGAACGGAATCCAATGCATTGGTCTTATAATTTTTTTGTCTATCTTAGTTAAGAAGAGTAGACATACCTTTTAAGCATGTATAAATAATTTTGAGAGTCCAATTCCTTCAGCTTCTATTTGCTTAGTTTGTCTTCATCATTCCTAGCTCCAGCCTGTTCCTTTCAAAGTGTTCCCTTGCTAATGCCTTTGTAAAGATGTCCGCGATTTGTTCTTCCGTAGTACAAAAGTTCATAGAGATTAAACCCTTTTCCACATTGTCTCTAAGAAAGTGATGACGAATGTCAATGTGTTTAGTTCTCTTATGTTGTACCGGATTTTTTGCAATGTTGATAGCACTAGTATTATCGTAGAAAATTGGGACTTGTTCAATTTTGAGACCGAAATCACTAAGTTGTTGCTTAATCCACAGAAGTTGGGCGCAACATGACGCAGCTGCTACGTACTCAGCCTCAGCAGTGGAAATTGCAACTGAGTTTTGTTTCTTTGATCCCCATGAGATAAGACACGATCCTAGAAAGTGAGCCATTCCTGTAGTGCTTTTTCTATCACCCAAGTATCCAGCATAGTCAGCATCCGCATACCCAACTAAATCAAAATTGCTTCCTTTTGGGTACCAAAGTCCTAAATCAGAGGTTCCTTTTAGATATCTGAGGATTCTCTTGACTGCTTGAATATGTGATTCTTTAGGATTAGATTGAAAGCGAGCACATAATCATACACTAAACACAATATCAGGTCGACTAGCACTAAGATACAAAAGGGAGTCAATCATGCCTCTATACAATTTTTGTTCAACAGCAGAACATGTTCCTTCAAGGTCCAACTTAGTGGCAGGGGCTATTGGAGTATCAATTGGTTTAGCATCGTCCATTTTGAACCTCTTAAGAAATTCTTTTACATATTTTTGTTGATGAATCCATGTACCTCCAGGTGTTTGTTTTATTTGAAGCCCAAGAAAGTAGTTTAATTCACCCATCATACTCATTTCAAACTCATTGCTCATAAGATTTGCAAATTCATTTGTGAGACTCTTATTTGTAGCTCCAAATATGATATCGTCAACATAGATTTGCACGATCAGGAGACCCTTTTC